ATATATATATATATATTGCATTTGTGTTTTGCCTGCATGTATGTCTTAGGTATGTTTTGGATCCCCTGGATCTGGAATTACAGACAGTTCTGAGCTGCCATGTGGGTTCTGGGACCTGAAGCTAGGTCCTCTGGAAGAGCAGCCACTACTCTTAACTGCTGAGCCATCTCTCCATCCCTGCCCGTCATTTACTCATGATCTTCCTTTGCACAGTGTCAGGTTGCTAGAACCCATTTTCCCATAAGCACTAAGTCTCCCCGATTTATTCATTTTCACAGTACATATGACATGTGTCTGCTGCATCTGATCCCAGAATTTCTGACACAAAGATCCACACCTAATGTGGCTTCATTTTCCTTTATCAGGTCATCCTCCAGTCTTGCCTAAGGAGTGTCAGCTTGAAAAACAAGAGAATATGTTTTCTATCATGTGTTTAAAGAGCTCTGACACCATTCCCAAAATGAGACAGACAGGTTACCACATTTATCTTTGTGCTCAAAGTTAGAATTTCTGTTTCAGAAACATCTTTGATTTATAAGCATTATAATAACAACACTGATGCTTCATGTCCAGACTGTCATGATTTTGCCAAGTTGTGGGTTTAATATACAGCTAAGCTGTATTTAGCGTATCTAATACTGTGTTTGGAGCTGAGAAAGACAAGTCCACAGACATCTGACTTCACACCCAACATCAGCTTTCACCTTGCTGAGGAGTAGACTTTTGTCAGTGGATTATAGGCGCATCAGCTGTGCTGCTGTAGTCTGTGGCATTTCTATTGTGAGCGCTGCTCTCTCTACAGGGCCCAGTGTGATGTTTTATTCAGATGACAGCACCTGGTCATGCAAGCACATTTCCCACAGGTGTTCTTACAAGTTAACAAGGGGAAACAGTTCCTATTCTCAGCGAGCTTTTACACTAAGTTTTTATAGAAGGAAAATTGTCTTAAAGCAAAGCCAAACCTCACTCTAGTACCAGTTGAACTGAGTGTCCTGGTTCAGGCCTGTAATCCCAAACACTAAGGAAGCAGGGGTAGGCTAATTTTCAGTTCTAGGCTAGCCTGGTCTAAAAAAGATTTTTTTTTTTTTAATTTAAAAAAGGAACCTGATATGTTTTTAAAAGTGCATTTTTTTTTTCTTTTCTATTTTGAGACAGTGTTTCTCTGTGTAGCCTGGTTGTCCTGGAACTTGCTTTGTGGGTCAGACTAGCCTGGAACTCAGGAATCCACCTGCCCCTCTCTGTCTTATGAGTTAAAAAGTCCATTCTTCAAGACTATTAACTTACAGGAAAACAATAACAAGTAGCATTTGATTCTCCAGGTTCAAGTACTTTTTAAAGCCTTTAAAGCCCATCACAGGCTGTTAGAGATGATGTGTACTTGGAGAGGTTCTTAAAGTTTTCCACTTGCATTCCCTTTTGTCTAACAAATTTTTAAACAACTCTTGGCACATAGGGTATTAAAACAGGTATATAAATCAAACATGTGCTTATAATAAATCATGAAACAATTCATTTAAAAATAGTTGTTTGGTATATGAATGCCTTCACCATTTATTACAGAATAGAATTTGCATGGTAATGAAATAGATGTCCTCATTTATTTGCATAAAGAATTAAATCTTTTCTGGAGACTAGCAACTTTAGGACTTACAACATCCTTAGCTATTTTTAATAGTTTGTCCATATTCTGATGTTACAGTTATCAGTGTATAAATGTAGTAAAAATGGCAAAAATGTGCTTAGGACCACCTCAGAAACTGTTGGAAAGTCTATTCCATTCCCAAGCCAGAATTTTGATTAGTTACTTTGGATGGAATTCAAGTCAGCAGCTCAGACCTTAAGTTTTAAAATCAACTATTCTAAAGCCAGGCTTCCTGGTACACACTTTAATCCCAGCAATCAGGAGGCAGAGGCAGGTAGATCTCTGTGAGTTTGAGGACAGCCTGGTCTTTATGGAGTGAGTTCTAGGATAGCCAGGGCTAGAGCCACACAGAAACCCTGTATGGAATAACAAAACAAAACAAAACAAAACAAAACAAAAACCCAAAAAACCCCAAAACAAAAAACCAACCCCCCCAACCCCAAACAAAACAAAACATAAAAACAAAAAATAACCCAACCATCCCCCACAAAAGACAAACAAAACAAAACAAAACAAAAAACCCACCACCAACAACAGAAGGCTATTATGTTTCTCTAAGAGCAGAAAACTTTGCATGTACAGGAAAAACACTGCAGTTTATAACTCACAGTAGTGTCAAATGTGAGCTGAGGTGTTTAAACAGCATTCAGTGTTCTGTGCTGTGATCCTGTGTAAGGTGCAACGTGAAGTCTCATGACAAAGCATTGGTGAGCACTTCAAGAAACACCTTCGATTTGTTTCGCATCAGGTTTTGATTTAACTTTTGGTCCCCAGGCACTCAGAAACCTTTTATTGTTGCTATGATTGTGTGTGTGTGTGTGTGTGTGTGTGTGTGTGTGAGATGAGAGAGAGCTGTCCTGTCCCATGGTGTTTTATTCCCCCAACTCCCTTTTGTGATTGATATAAAACACACACACACACACACACACACACACACCCACCCACCCACCCACCCCAACCCTCTGGGGTTAT